TAGATGTTCATTTTATTGAGTTATAACGAAATAAATAATATTGATTTATTTTAATAAAATGCTATTAAATTAGCCAAAGCAACATTATTTTACGTCGCTCAAAAGTTTGACTATTTATTATAATTTTCTCTTAATACAAATCTGAATACCGCATGATCTTATAGTTCGCTGGCACTTCAGAGGTTGACGTCACAAATCTATTGAGAAACCTTGACTCTCGGTGGCTATGGTAACATTGCGAAACAATATATTTTTAAAGCGAGAAGTTGATGCTGCGCCGCCGTGACGTCACTGACTGAAATCAGAAGCTCAGACGGCACGTGTCTATTAATTCAAAGGAGTGACCTTCTTTTCTCCCTTTAGCCCTGTCACTCTATACCGTTTAAGGAATTTGTTATTATATTAATGAAATCTTTTATTTGGAAAACTTTACATGAAATTAAATGTTACTTTTTTTGTTGAATAAGAAATAAAAGATAATTCTAATAGCATTTATTTTTCGTCAGAAAAATTTCAAGATGTCCGGCTTGGAGATTATTGAACTTCATCACATGCGGACGTTGCGGTCTTGTTATATAAATAACTCCCTGTATCCCGGGACTTGTTGCTATAGAAACGATCATTTCAAGAGCTTCGAAAACTAAAAGCTGTTGCTATTATTGTCGTTTAGTCCTTGACTAGACCAATGCAGATAAATTTAAAAATCGATATCAAAGCAAATTGGAATGTCTTGGTTCTTGAAGTAAAACATGATTCATGACAATAACATACAGTTCCCGGTTTTAAAAAGTTAAAAGTGATTATTTATTATCTCTTAAGACATTTAAGAATTTTATCTCATTTTAAAGAAAAAGCTTGAAATTTGATTGTTATTTGTAGAAATTTTAAAACTCAAAACTAACGTATCCATCATTCTGTAAAAGAGTAATAAGAGCAATGTGTATTTCAATATATATATATACAGTCGAACTTCGTTAACGTGAACACGTTTAGTGAATTTCTTTTAACATGAACTAATTCTCGATTCCCCGTCAAATTGTATACGGATATAATACCTTAAAATACTTTTAACCTGAAAACGCTTAATGTAAAATATCTTATAAAGTGAACTTATTTTATTTCTCATGAAAAAAAATTGATCATTCACAATTCTATGTCTATACGAGTAAATTTTTTAGATACGTTGTTACAGTGTTGAGAATTGCAAAATTACAGCAGTCAAATGAAAGAATTGCATTAACTAAAAAAAACTGTTGACTATATTACTGCAAACAGCATAAGCCCTTTATGAAACGAGTTTTCTTTCACCTCATGGGAATACTTGTGAGTGTGAATGTAATGAAGCAGGTTTTCCTGAGAAATGGCCATCCATATTATTCCTTTGTTCATTGGATAGGGATTTCGCCCACACTCTCATAAGTTGTTCTGAGAAATTAATATGCCTGAATTGGATTTCTGCAGATTGTGAGGCTATAATTTTTTTTTTTAAATTTCACTAGTGAATATTTTAGTTTACTTTCTTCAGATGGATGCTTACGTAGCAATCAATCTTTTTGAAATGCAAAATAAAAATTCGAATCATTTTTTTTCTGATACAGTTGATAAATTAGAAGACTTTTGAAAGCATGAGAGAATTAAAAACCAAAACAACGAGTTGTATTATTTTGTTAATAGAGCTCTCTCTAAATCAGTTTAGTGTTATTAGTTAATTTTCACTATTTTTTAGATGCTTCTACAGAATTAAAACAAAATAGAGTAACGAAATTTACATTTTTTGAATTTCGTCTAAACTACAATATTTTTTTTATAACTTAATTTCATTTTTTTTAAGTAATTGGTTGTATTTCCTAAGATGTATCGTAGTAATTAATTTAATATAAAGCGCAGTATAAAAACATTAATTGAAATGAAATATATGTTAATTTACATACTCATAAAAAGAAATTTAAGATTCGAAAACGCAAATCCATAGCAGATAGAGAAAACAAAAAATATCTGTGATTTTCATCAAAAAAATTTCTGAACTGATGACATGAATTACTTTTGACTAGAAAAAATTCTGTGTCCGAGATACAGGGCCCACTCAAAGCATTCGCCACCGCGCTTAATGCGAAAAAATCGTAAATTCGCCGAAGAAAATTGTGTTTCGGCGAAAATATTGGCTAACGATTTTTTCTTTCGAAAAGAAAAATATATATTCTTGAAAATTACATCAATAAGAATTTTTCTGAACAAATCTTGTTATTTTTTATTCAGTTACAGTAATTTCCCTTAGACTTGTTGCTTAGACAATTAGAGTCCAGATAATGTAGCAACAACAAAAATTATGTAAGCATCAGAAAAGCAAATAAAAAACACATTCATTGCCGGATCATGCCATATCGCGTGATGAAAAATTTTTTGTCAATGCAACTCATTAAGTGGTAGCTAGATTCGTATTATCATTCAACTATTTTTTCAGAAAATATGTGTTCTTGTGACAATAACATATTGTTTATTAAAATAAATTTATTCTAAAGTTTAAAACGGTTTGCTAAAATGCTAAACGGTTGCTAAAATAAGAAAATTTAACTTTGATTTTATCTTTATAAATTACTACTTTTCAATATAGTATAATCACCTGCACATGGCTGTTAAACTCAAGCCCAAATTCTGTTAAAAAAAAATGCATCTGTGAGTAGTATAAAAACCAATAAAACCGAGTTAAATGATTCAAATAAGAATGAATTCAACAAATAACAATGATTCAACAAATTAATTAAATAGTTCAAATTCCTTCTACCACGATCCTTTTTTTTTTTTTTTTATTTTTNAAATAGTTCAAATTCCTTCTACCACGATCCTTTTTTTTTTTTTTTTCTTTTTCGAATGACTACAATCGCGGCAGTAAAAAATAAGCGAGACAGTAAAAAAAAATTGTTTTTAAGAAATAAAAGACTTAAAGAATTAAACGTTTTATTTAAAATGAAATAAGTTCATTTAAAAAATAGTCGGAATATATAAAAGCATCAAATGTGGCTTTATATTACTATTATGCTTTATATTTATATTAGTCAAAGAAGTTATCAAAAATTAACCCCAATATATTCTTATTTTCTTTTCCTGAAAGACGGTAAAACCTCTACTCCCTTATTCATTGCTCATTTATTCCTCCTCAACTATAAAATGATTTTTTATTCGAATTTGCATTTTTAAAATAATTCAATTTATAATAATAAATTTGTATTTTGACTTAAAGTTTCCCATGGGAAAAGAATTAATCGTAAAAATATGCTTAAGTCTTAGCCTCGCGATGTTTAAATGTTTAAGAGATATTTTGTCAAACAATCTACTCTTTTGTGGAAATGTTCAATTATTCAATTACTTACAATCCCTATGCAAATGAAAATAGTTCGGCAAAAATTTTTTGACTTTACTCATCTGTATCAGATTTTACCTCGTGGTTGCCAAACGACAGATTTATCTGAAAAGAAATTTTCCCTTAACACCGTAGTGCGTTTCCTTTTCAGTGCTTGGTTTTACTTCAGGGAATTGTTGCTTCACAGCTCCTCATCAATCAGTGGATTTAAAAAGTTATGGAATTTACAAAATTAAATTAAAATGACTGAAATAAAGCAATTAAGAAAGCTCCCAATCGCGATCGTAACGTTCGAATACGCCATTTGGGGAGAATACCAGTTCCATATCTTAACCCTCCTCCTCTTTTAAGTTGTATAAGAATCTATTACGATATTTTCTCCTTTCTTAATATTTTTTCATAATTAATTGTCAAAAATAGTTTTTTATTTAATTTTCACGACGCTTTCTTTTAGAACTATGTTCAATTTTGCTTTCAGTTTCTTAAAGTTTCCTAACTTAAATTACTTTAATCCATTTGAAAATCAAAATAGAAGCAATTAGAAGCCGATAAATCATTTGAAAAAGTAAATCAAAACAATGAGAGAGTACAGTAGTGATCAGCTATAATTATTAGTCCACAAAACTGCTATGAAATCAATGTAGGGGAAGGTGGAGCATAACGGGATACCTAGTTTAAAATATGATTTTAAAAATAAATAGTGAAAAAAAAATTAAAAGAGCTGCAAACGATTTTTATGAACTTTTTATACTTTCATATTCTAAATACAATGATGTTTTAAGAAATCAAAGGTTATTATATTTTTCACTGTAAAAATAAAATTATATCTAGTCTCTATATAAATAATCCTACTCCAGGTGAGGCAGAACGGGATGGTAAGGAAAATTATTAAAAAAAAAAATCTATTGAAAATACAGGGAAAATTAGTTTGCCCCAGATTTGTGTAGTTTTAAGTGTTAAAGGATCAGTTTTAAGGGGTATAACCTTTAACGATTGTACTTGCAAGACAGTACGGGTAAGATATTATCGATATGTAAAGAGTGGTTGTAGTTAGTAGATTTACTTTAAACCATGATTAAAATGAGTACTAAGTTTAAATTAAGTAAATATTTTCTTCTCTTAGCAATCACTTGAAGTTTAAAAAGAAATCGCAACTGCTTCATTGCAAATGTAAATATAAACTGAATGAAGCACTGCCTCATAACATTTTTTAAAGTAACTAAAAATAATTTTAAATCAAGAGTATTCAATATATTTGTTTTCTTTTTTCAATTAATTAAATTTGAAATATAGTTTTAATTAAAAGAATGTATTTCCTTTTTTCTGTAGTACAGTTATTTTTTCAAGTATAGCACTGCAGATAAATTTTGGAATATTCCAAAATTTATCAAATTAAAGACACGGAGACAGGATTAGTGAAAACGCAATCCGATTTGACATACATTCCATAAAAAAATTATAAAAGGTGTTAGCGAAAAAAAGAGCAAAATTAAAATATATATACATATAAATATTTATTTAAAATCAGAAGTAAATTTTTTAAACTCAGAATCATTATATGGTATGGTATGAAAGAAGGTGAGTTTATTATTCCAATGTCACGTGACAGCGCATTTGAAAAAGGGGAGAATCGCCGGTGCCCATCTTTTCCACGGGGTTGCTCTCATTAGTGGCGAGGAAGCTCAAAAGAGAGGTTTAGCCTTTTCTTTTGTCCGGCGTTCTTCAATTTTAACGCTGCTTACATAATTTTGTCACTTCGGTTTACGAACAGTTTGTGATTTTTGAAGTAATATGACACACACTTTCGATCTAGATGATCTTGTTTGGTACGTTATAATTTTATATGTTTTAAAATACATTATTATTAAATGATGTTGTTTACTATTTAATTTCCGTTTCTAGGGGTAAGATGCAACATTACAGACCTTGGCCTGGACGAGTAAGTATTTTCAATTTTTCCTCTAAATGCAAATAATATTTTAGATTGCTTTTGAAAATCGATGGACCCTAACCAGCCTTCCTCCGAGATATGTATTAGTTGTTTTTTTTTGTAAAAATTATTGTTTAATTTCTCAATTATGAGGTCTCTAAGAATGCTCGATGCTTCCTAACATCGCAAGGTATGTTAAAGACTAACAATCCATATTGGCTATGTTCTGCTATATTTATAAAATATTTTTAAAAAATTTCATTTTATTTGAGAAAATAATTGTTTTACTTCAACTTTCTGTTGAAAAATTTTTTTTCCTTTCAATATACTTGGATGCTTACCATTTTTATATAGAATCAATATTAAAGTGAAATATTAAAGTTATTATGTTTGAAACGTGGATTCAACTTGGAAACGAAGAGTTCTGTATTATGTAGGTATTTTTTTTAAAAATTTATATTTGAAAGATTAACTTTTATTTATACATTCCAAAGAATATTCTGGTAAAATGTTGATATATTTTCCACAATGCATGTCTCTTAACTTAAGTATTATTTTTTACACTACTGTTGTATTGTACACAAATATTAATTTATTTACTTGAAAGCACAAAGAGTAATTTTAACTATCTTGCAATGCTCCATTATCACAATAATTTGGTAATTATATTTGTTTGATAATCTAATATTGTTGTTGTTTTTTTTTTTTAAATTGAATTATATAGGACAGAAACTAGATTTATTATGCTAACAGGATTTTTCTGTTTTTATCTATTTATTTACCATGCCTTACTACTTTATCTTTAATCAGAGAAAATGAAAATTTTCTAATTGGTAGGAAAAAATCCTGTAACTTTATTCTACTAATAATATTAAAAATAAGTTAACCTTTTATGAACAATACACAAACGCTTGGAATTTTTAATGTGAGAACTTATTTTTGTTTATTTATAATTGAAATTTTTGATAGGTTTAACTTAAAGCTATTATACAACTCAATTAGTCTTTCAATCAGCATAGTTAGCATTACGTGCCTAGTTTAGCATTTAAATATATATTCTAGCATGAATAAAATTTTGATGTATTTTTTTCATTCAAATTGCTTCTGTAACATAAAAAATATTTTGTAGAATGGAATTGTAAAACTTTCCTGAAATCTCTTACTTTCCAAACGAAGAGTTTCCATTGCCTATTCAATATTTCAAATTATTCCAATATTTTCGTATCTGCATTTAACAAAGAATGTTAGATATTTCAAAATTGTATGCATTTAACCCTTTTGCGCCTAACGGGACACATACGTCCCAAGCAAATTTTTAAAAAAATTCTTTTGGGACAGAAACGCTTCTCTGTCTAGTGGGAGACTTTCCCACCAGTCTTGCCAATATTTTTGAAGGTATTTTCATTCACAGAACCGTCAATACCGTACATAATGCTGCGCTTCTTATAGTTTATGCTACCAAAATTGTTCTGTTGTAAAAAAAAACTTGTCGCGAACACTGTGAAGACCTGTCTTGAATTTTGTCACAGTAACCTATTAATCATGTTTTTTTCCAAAGGCAGATCTCTGTGTTACCTAAGTGGGAGAGCCATCCCTGCTACATATAATATTTACTTATCCTCTATCAAACCTGTAGGTTGAGTTATTCAATAGTAATAGTAATTCCGTTGAAATTGTTATGATTTTCCAAATTTCTCTTTTTTATATATTTATTAAACAGAACAATAGGAACACTAAACATAAACACAAATAAACATTAAAATTTTTCTGATTGTTCATTATTCATTCAAATCAGATTTTTCCGATTCCACGAGATGTTTATCCCGCCATTTTAAGATTCATTCTGATTGAATTCTCCCTCGGTTAGGGAAGACACCTAGTAGAAATCCCCTTTGTGGGGATTTTACCTTATTCGTGGCTTGAGTTGCTACATCCTCCCGCCCCGAAAAAGAGTTCAAAAACAATTTACAAATAGAATTTAAAATTATACTAATACTAATTCTACATTAAACTACCAAATTAACAATTCACGACATAAATAATGAATCATACAAAAATTTATGAAAACAATATCAGCAAAAAAAAAAAAAAATTCGAATTAGAATAAAGACAGTCACTTATTCATAATCAACTTGTAATTTGTTACTCACTCATTTGATGCAATTTCTAAATTATACAATAACTGTACTGGGCGTCTTATGACCCCTGAAGACGTTTTCACAGAGACTGATCTTACCTTGCCATCTCGACCCTTGTGGCATTCAAGAATTCTTCCTAACTTCCAAAGTTGTCTTGGTATTTTCTCGTCACCTATTAAAACTATATCATTTACATTAAATTCAATGTTTACATTTACATGTTTGTTGAAATTTGCACCTTTTAACAGAAGAAGATATTCCTTTTTCCATCTTTTCCAAAAATTATTTAGAATCTTTTCCCTATACAAAAATCTTTTTATCAAATCCCTTTTACCTTTAAATAATTCAAAATTTGCATTACCTGACCAATTAGGTAAAGCTGTTAATCTTCTTCCAGTTAAAAAGTTAGCAGGAGTGAGAGGGAATGGTTCATTAGGTTCATTATAAACATACGTTAATGGACGCGAATTAATTATAGCTTCAATTTCTGCCAAAATAGTTTGCAATTCTTCAAATGAAACAAATGATTTCCCTAAGATTTTCTTTAATGTGATTTTTGTTATTCGAACCATTTTCTCCCAGTATCCTCCCCACCATGCAGCACGTTCAACGATGTACTGCCACTCTATACCCTTTTTGCTAAAATAGTTCTGAACTTCGAATTCATTAATGTTCATGTATAGTCTCTTGAGTTCAATGTCAGCACTTTTAAAAGTTAAAGCATTATCAGAGTTTACAATCCGGCAAATGCCTCTTCTGGAGATAAATCGTCTGAATGACAAAAGAAAATGTTCTGTACTTAAATTCGACACAACTTCTAGGTGTACTGCTCGCGTTACAGCACATGTAAATAATGCGATGTAATTTTTATCATGGTCCTTTTAGTACACAGGACCAGCAAAGTCGATGCCTACAACTTCAAATGGGTTGACTTCACAAGTTCTATTTGCAAGTAATGGAGCAACTACCTGAATTCCATGTTTAACTTTATATCGTCTACACTTAAAGCACTTATTCAAACAAGTTTTTACAGCTTGCCTGCCTCGGATTATCCAAAATCGTTCTCTCAATTGTGTAAGTGTATCCGAAACACCAGAGTGACACAAGTTTGTATGTTCTTTAAATATTAAGAGTTCTGTAAATTTTGTCTTATGATAATTGGGTGCTTTGATTGAACATCGAAATCTGAATTTTGTAACCTTCCTTTTAAGGCTATTAAATCATCAGCTGACAAAATTGGATTTAAATCGTATAATTTCGAATTTGGATGTATGGGACTATTGTTTTTTAAATCCAGGTATTCCTTTTCAAATTCAATTCGTTGCACAACTTTAATCCAGTAAGTTTCCGCGTTGGTTAGTTCACTCGCTGTGATTGCTCCTATTCTCTTTTCGTGCGCTGCCTTACAGTTATGACTGAAACGAAATATGTACCCTGTAATTCTGAAAACTTTGTTTAGGTCACTATAATTATCAAGATTCAGTAACGGCTGAATAGATACAGTTTTTAAATGTAAAGTTACAACTTTTCGTCTCTCTCCTACAACGTTATGCATGTCAGGACAAGAGGCGCTTTCATCGTATGGGATATTCCTTTCTTTTAGCCATGGAGGTCCCGATAACCAAACAGTATCGTTTAAAAGAGCTTGAGCATTCATTCCTCGTGCAAGTTTATCTGCAGGGATATCTTTTCCGCTACAATGATCCGGATTAGTTTTTTCCTTTATTTCTCTCACTCTGTTTCTAACAAACTGCTTCCAATCATCGGATTGTCCCTTGATCCAGTGTAGGCAAATTGTAGAATCTGTCCAGTAAAATATTCTTTTCTCATTTAATTTAGAGAAAGTGTCTTTAAGATAACTTCCAATTCTTGCGGAAATTAATGCTCCCATCAGCTCTAACCTCAGTAAAGTAAGCTTCTTTAAAGGGGCTAGGCGAGATTTAGACATTATAAAGCTCGTAATATTCTTCATCCGGAAATAAGCTACAGCTCCATAACATTTAGGGCTTGCATTGGAAAAAATATGAATCTTTAATGACTCCCAATCCAGTTCTTCGAAATATTGCCTAGGTATTTCCAAGTTTCGAATTATCTTTAATTCGTTATACCAATCAATAAATGTGTCCTTTATTTCAGTGGGAATCCTTTATTTCAGTGGGAATCATCCCATGAAATGCCTTTTTCCCAAATCTGTTGTAACAAAAGCTTTATTCTAATACTGAAGGGGTTCATTAGTCCAATGGGATCAAAAAGCATACCGCCTGCTGCCAAGATAATTCGTTTAGTTATCGCCTTGCACAATCTCAGTTTTTCAAACTGTCGAATGTCGAATCTAATGTTGTCCTCAACATTGTTCCAGATAAGTCCTAAAATCTTTAAAGGTACGCCTAGTTCTTGAGATGTTTCTCGGCAATCTATAAAAGCTTGTTTCCATGCTTTGCCAAGAATCGGAGAATTTGTTGTCCATCTACGTAGATTCATGCTAGCTTGTCCAAGAATAAATATCATCTCCTTACTCAAACGAAAGGCATCCTGCACGTCAGAAGTTCCGTCGATCATATCATCTACATAGAGTTTATGGAGCATTTCACACGCTTCACCATAGTCTTTGCGATATTTCTCTATGTGTAATCTTATTGTCGCTGACAACAAAAATTAACTACACTTAACTCCAAATGTAACCCTTTTGTATCGAAGAGTTTGGATATTATGATTGCTGAGATCGAGATTAGGACCCTTTTCTTTTATCCACAAAAATTTTAAAAATTCTCTATCTTGTTCTGCGATCCCTACTTCCAAATATGCACGCTGAATGTCAGCGCAAATTGCAATTTTGTGCAATCTGAACCTCAAAATAATTTTTAGTAAATCCGGGTTTAAGTTTGGATCGCAATCTAAACAATCGTTTAATGACAATTCCCCTTTACCCTTTGAAGATCCATCGAAGACTACCCTAACCTTTGTACTGTCCTTTTGTTCGCGTACTACAGCGTGATGTGGGAGAAAATAACCTGTATTTATATTTTTATCTAAATCCATTTCTACCCTTTCAACAATTCCTTCCCGTATGTGCTCATTTATGATCTCATCGTATTTTAAATATAATCCCTTATTTCTCTCGAATGTTTTGTTTAAACTAAATAAACGATGTTTTGCAATTTCATAATTACTATTCAATTCTCTATTATCCGCCCTCCATAATAATCGAGTTTCGTATATTTTATTTGAATATGTCGTATTTTGTTCAAACGATTCCAAAATTTCTTTATCTGACGGAGATAGTTCTTTATCTGCATTTATCCCGATTGCTTCCAATGACCACAAATTCTTAATCCTATCACAATCTAATTCTTCATTTTCAACAAATAAATGATTGACTGGCATCTCCGGTGAATTGGATTCCTTATCCTGTCCTTGTAGTAAAGCTCCAAAAATACTATCAACTACAATCAATCTTTTACTAATTCTTACGTTCCTTTCACCTAAAATTTGTGATATGTAATCCGAACCAATTAAAACATGTATTTTACTGGAGGTACTAACATCAGCTAATTCAGTCCCCATTTCTGTAGCAATATTTCTAACCCATTGTGACGGAATGTTAATTTGTGCCGAAGTAATCGAGTCGATTACCACCGCTTGTATTTTTATCTTCCGATTTGAATTTTTTATACTTTGTAATGTTAATTCGACCACATCATATGTGCGCTTTTCTGCGATTTCATTTCCGAATGTATAAATAATTAATGATTCTTTATTAATCACTTCTAAATTTAATGACTCAGCTATTTCTCTCAAAACGAAAGATTTATTCGCCCCTCCGTCTAACATACAACGCAATTGAATATTAACTCCTTGTTTTGTTTTGCTTTCCGCCGAAAAAGCTTGCAATAAGATCGAATTAGAAGTGCTCCTCTTTATTTAATTTATTTAGAAGAAAGAGAAATCATAGATGATATAGCGTTTTGAGTTTCTGGGTTTCCCCCCTTGCACGGCGTCAACCGCTGGCGCCGAAACATTTTTTCTTTCATTATGTTCGTTCCCATTACAAGTTAAAGAGTTATGAGAAGAAGAATTATACTGTTTGCATTTTTGATAATTCCTATCACAAAATTTGCTTAAATGATTTTGAAAACATATAAAACATAAGCCCTTAGACATTAAAGCTTTCTTCTTCTCAAACACATTTAACAAGCAATCGTGACTCATATGATTTTTAGAACAGAAAATGCATTTTAAATTATTCACATGTCTATCAGAATAGGAAGTATTAAAGTTTCGCTTTGAATTGTAATTTGTTTTCGCGTAAGAGTCAAATTTATGAGGGTGTGAATATCGTTCTTCGATGTGTGTAGCTAAAACTGTGGCGCTCGATTTATTGCCCAAATAATCATTCCTTTTAGTGTTTGAATAATGAGGCCTATTAGGGTAACTTTGATCTGATTTATTTTTAAATGAATAATCTCTAACAGTTGCATTTTTAGGATTCGCTAATAATAATGCTGCTTTTCTGCAATTTACCTCATCTTTAATAAATTGAAGCAACAAAGAAATATCGAATAATTCACCTGTTTTACGTTGCCGATTTAAATTCAATTCCTCGGGTAATTTTTGTAGAATTACTGGGCATAGGAGATTACTATAAGTTCCTGCAGCTACTCCTAATGATTGTAAAGATCTAATTTGGATTTCTATTGCGTCATACATTTTTCTTAATCCAATAATATTATTACAAGATTTAACAGGATCTATTAATAACAGTTTAAGCATATGTGTTGACATTATAATATCTGTTCGCCCAAATCTATCTTTCAGCAATTGTATTGACGCATCATAATTTTGATCCGTAAGTGAAAATCCCGATACTGCACTTAATGCAACTCCTCCTAGATAGGATTTTAGATATGTAAACTTTTCTATTTTCGATAATGAAGTATTGTTGTGTATTGCAACTTCAAAAAAATTCCAAAAATCTAAAAAATAACTACAATCACCGTAAAAAGTTTGAATATTTAGTTTCGGGAGTTTGACAATATTTTTAGTTTCGTTTTGAAAGTTAGAAGTATTTTGCATGTTATGTGATACAAACTGAACAGAGTTATTTACATTTGTCTCGCTTATCTGAATTACACCTTGTGGTTTAACAATTAAATTTTCTAAATTCCTTTCTATTTTCAATTTCGCTTCAATACCCTTATCTTTATATTCTTCACTTAAATCTATTTCAGCTGCCATATCTTTTATTTCAATTTTTAACTGCACTTCATCATCAGCCTTAATTAAATCATTTAATTTTTCTGTGAGCTGAGATTTTAAGCTCAAAAGCTCATTCACTTTCATTTCTTTCGTGTATTCATTCGAAATTTCAATTCCTATCGTATTTTCTATCTTAGTTAAATGCTTACTAAATGAAATTCTTAACCTTTTTCGTTTTCCCTTAATTCGTTCTAAATCCATTTTATATATCAATAAATTGGAACAAAGAAAAATGGACCTACCTCAAATCTCAGCGTTTCACTATCTGATGATATTTTCATCGACAATATTTATTCCGTGCCATTCAATGAATGTTCATAATGCACGTTTCACAATTTCATAATTCCATACTATATCAAGTCCGGTGGTCACCATATAATATTTACTTATCCTCTATCAAGCCTGTAGGTTGAGTTATTCAATAGTAATAGCCTGTCCGTTGAAATTGTTATGATTTTCCAAATTTCTCTTTTTTTTTATATATTTATTAAACAGAACAATAGGAACACTAAACATAAACACAGATAAACATAAAATTTTTCTGATTGTTCATTATACATTCAAATCGGATTTTTCCGATTCCACGAGATGTTTATCCCGCCATTTTAAGATTCATTCTGATTGAATTCTCCCTCGGTTAGGGAAGACGCCTAGTAGAAATCCCCTTTGTGGGGATTTTACCTTATTCGTGGCTTGAGTTGATGCACCATCCCTGCTACAGATTTGCAAAATTTTGATGATATGTCTTTGAATCATCCTCAGGGGTGTTTCTCGTGCCCGTTGCTGCCCATGGTGCAGTTTTACTACGATGTAAATAAAGTACTACTACCAAAAAGTCATCAAAGCTGCCTATTTTGTAAAATTATTATCTAATTTTCTTTGCTTGAAATTTAAGAATCGCAGAATCGTGGCGACATTGTCGCAGAACGTTTCAGAGTTCTGGCATGAAGATTTTTCCTTTAAGAGGTAAAAAACTTGGGTTTTCTTTTCTGCAGAAGTTTTCAAAAGATTTTTTCTTTTCTTCAGAATTATATTCAAAAGATGCTTTTCTCACGCATCAGCGTGGAGATCGATTGTTCTCTTCGATTGTTGAAATGTGCCCCACCACCCGTTGAAAACTGCCCCCCCCCCAGGAGGGGTAGATTTCAACAAAATGGTTCACTAAATATGTAAAATGAGGTATTTTGTCTTTGGCTTAGACTTTTAGAAAAAATTGATAGGTAATATCAAATATCAATTTAGTAAATAAAAATCAGAACTTAGATTTTGAAAGCAATAAAACTTCACAAATAATTATTTAGCAAAAAATGTTGAAAGGTGCCCCCCTCTCCCCTAGTTACTGCTGCGGATTTGATGATTTTTTTTTTTTTAATGTGATGATGATTTACAAAAGAAAAAAATATATTAATTAGTGTCTTTTCCCTCCACAAAATGCAAGAATATGGAAATAATATTAGAATGTTAAAGGAATATTACATATTCAATTAAAAAGGCTTTTTTTTCTTTGAAGTTGAAGCTTCTGTCACTTTAAATTAGTAACATGTAGGACTGGGCTGTAAATAGATGTATCGCAAAATATCTGTTTAACACATATATCGGCAGGCCGATATAATGATTTTAGTTTTAGGCGATGCATCAAAAATCTGATTTAAGCCGTCGGTATAAATCAACGCTCATGGTTTGATGAATTAACATACGAGGATCCTTGCCTATGCTAACGCTGTCACTGCACTGGCGACGATTTTGATTTTGTCTAGATGCGGAGATGTTGTTAGCGCATAGTTATGAGGACGATGTTAGTTTTGTGAAGTTGAATGATGAAGAGCAAAGTTTTTTCCGAAATTAGTTTCTATAAAAGTGTGATATTCTTTATTAGTGGTTTAATTGTTTTATTTATTTGTTTAGTTATTAAATTGTTATTAGTAATTTAATTGTTAATAAGTTTAATTACTTAAATTAAATATGAATAGTACATTAATTGATATTTTGTTTCCTAGTTTTTGCACACTGTTCAATTGTTTGTTCGAGCTTGCAACTTAGAGTTTTTCACTTTGTGTCACTATCATCCCTGGTCATTATTGTCCTTTGTCCCCAATTCACATTTTTTGAACTAAAAAATTTTCTATATTATGAAAGTGTTTTAGAGATAAATGCACTTATATTCGATATGGTATGACTGTCTATTTGAATATGTATGGGTCATTTTCACTAAAAAGCGGAGTTTTTTTCAGTTCCTTAGTAATAAATATCAGAAAGTACAACAGATTTCTTAGTATTTTTCTTCATGCCTTTTAGTTAAATTCTAACCGTGGATGTCCCTATATCTGTGACACAAAATGATTTTTAATGGCTTTTAAACAATTTAAAGGTTATTTTAATGGTTTTTGTAGTATTAACTAGTTAAATATTTATAGTAGCTTCTTATTTAATATGTCTCCTTCCTTATTTAATTTTATTAAGTATCCCTCCTTGGATAATTAAAATAATTCAGTAAATATGCAATAGAGGGCAGCATATGTCAAAGCCCTGATGGGAAAGGTAACCATTCTATTTTCTAGTGTAAACTCTTAGTTCTCTTTGCTATCAATTCTGGATTGTTGTGTTCAACTGAGGTTTGGCAAAGTTCTCAATATATACTCCGTAGTCATCATAAAGAAGGTAAGAGAAAACTATTTTATATTTGATTTATAAATTTTTGACGACAAAAAAATATAATTAATAAAAAGAACTGTGAAATTTTTGTAACTTTAAAATTAAAACTCTGTAAAATTCAAAAACTAGTTTTTGTCTCCTCTGTGGACATAGCAAGTTCACGGAGCAGATGATGCAGCCCATGGAAGAGAAAATGTCTTAGACTACCATAATGCATTTCTATTGTTTAAAAAAACTAGTCTTTTAATTGATATTTTTCAAAATGAAACAAATATGGCAATTTCTTTATATATATTTTTTTTTAAAAGTTAAGTTTAACCTTTTCTTTTTGGAGAAGTAAATATTAGCAAATTTTCTAAATAATTTGTGTGATGTTAAACTTTTTTTTTTCCTTCAAATTTTAGAAGAAGAAAAAAAGGCGAAACCAAAAAGTATAAAAAGAAAGCAATGAGATGTTCAAATCCAGAAAAGATGGGAACCGAAAAAACAGACAAGAGAACATGCCCTATATTGCTTGACAGAAATTAAAAGAAAGTCCTATATTATTTGAAAAAGTGAGAACATTGCAACCAAAGAGAAGCCAGTGGAAAAATTAAAAGTGTTCAAGAAATGGATGAATGCGAAAAGAGAAAAATAAGAAAGGTTTAGAATGAAAAAGCAAGATAATATCGCAAACAAAGAAAAAGTTTGGAAGAAACTGAAGGATTTATCATAGATACAACTCCAAGGTTATCTTCTCAATTGAATAATAGTAGCATTGTCAAAGAAAATAATACTTCTGGAGTTTTAAGAGGAAATAAAACAATAAGAAAAAACTTTATAAATTGAAAAGGAAGGTAGACTTAGAAGAGAAAAATAAAACACTAAATACTAGATTTGAAAGGTATATATAAAAAAAAGATTAAGCAGATTTCAGAAAGTTAAAGAGAAGGAAAATAAATTGCTAATCAGCAGAGAATTGAATAGTTAAGACAAAAGAAAAAAGGCTAATGTGTTTAGAAAATTGTTATTTGCTGAAGCTTTTTGCAGACAAATACAATCTAACTTTAAAAGCCAAAAATCTCAAAGTGAAAAAGACAATGTTACAAGTATTGACTGGTAAAATTATGAAAAAGTATCGGTTATTCGATCTGGTAAAAAAAAATAATAACTTCACGCAAAATGCTTACCAATTACCATAATAACATTATATATGAGAAAGAGATTTTAACAAAAAATGCTGTTAAATGTACTGAATGAAATTTACAAGGCAATTTTTTTGTGCCCAGGGAAAAAAGAAACAAAAACGTTATTTGAATGACACTAAGTATAATTTGCATGAAATGTTCATAAAAGAGTATCCTCAACATCAAACTCTTTGTTATCACACTTTTTGTCGTCTTCAACATTTTTGGATCTTATTTCCAAACGCTTCTGATCGGGTCACATGTTTATGCAAAGTTCATGAAA